GTGGGGTCAAAACGGATCTGTGCCTTATTCTGCTTAAGCTAGTCACTCCCCAAAATTATCCCACCACACAAGTCAGGTGCCACATAAACCTTAAGTTTACCTCTGGTTCTTGCCAACTGGAAAGGTAGCCACGTCATACCCTCTATCCTCATCCTGCTACTATCAGCCTGACATTAGTAGATCGACGAGATTAAGCTTTGTTTTCAGTCCCAACTGTCTAAAAACCTTGGAGCTAACCAGTGACACTGAAGCTCCAGTATCAACAAGGGCCTTCACCTTCTTGTCTCCCAGCAACACATTACAGGTGAAGTCTGGCCCTTCCTTCAGCAAATGATATACCTGTGTCTTTCTCCTTCCCATATGTTCTCTCCCTTCCTTCCGCATTCTTGACAACCGGGACGTGGGAGATGGTGACAGGAGTTCACCTTTTTCTAGAGGCTCCAATTTCTGCCTAAGGGCCCTCCTGGGTTGGGTAGAGCTCAGATGACCCCCTTTTCTCGTACTAGCAACCCATTTCTCCCCTCCATTCGAGTTAAGGTTGTTCCATTCAGTGTGCTCCATCTTTCTCCTGTGAGGACAGGTTCATCTCAGGTGACCCGCTCCTCCACAGTGCCAGCACCTTCGCTCCTTACAACTGCCTTAAAAGTGCTCGACCTCACCACATGTCCAGCATCTCAGAGGTCTTACTTCACTGGTGCCACCCTGCCTCTTACTTTTTCACGGGTGACCCATCGGCGTTTCCTGGACCCTTTTCCTTCTCGGTAGGGGGCACCAGTATATTAACTTGCTTTATCCCCAGTTTACAGTCTCCCTCTGCCATACATCACTGAGCCTTGTGCCCAAACTCACCACAAGTCGTGCAGTTCGGCCCCAAAGACCTTTGGTCACCTCCATAGTTTGTCGGACAGTCTCGGGCCCGATGCCCACCATACTTGCAAGTCCAGCACACCAGCCCAATAGATCACCTGCTTCTTCTGAATGGACAGAATCCATTCGTGCATGTCTGCAGGGTTTCCTTTATAAAGTAGGTAGCTTCATGCTACCTATCAGCCTCCTGAAACCCATTGATATTTCGGGGACTCCCACATCCCCAAGGTCATCTGTGGCGTCTGATCCTGCTATGATCATCAACTACCACTTTCACACAAGACCAACAACAGAATGAAAGAAAAAATACTTAACACGGTGGTGGCGCTTCATGTGTATAAAGTCGACAAAGTCAAAACAAGATCAACAATATTACTGGCAGATCTAAGTGCAATGAGCGAACAAAGGAAACCAAAAAGGGACTTACCTGAGGTCCGCCGCTCAGTGTTTTGTTTCTTTTTCCTCCTTCTTTTGCTACCTTCTCTTTTCCTCCTTATGTCTCTTTCAGACCAATATAGACGGAAGACTAGAGTCCTTTCTGGTCTTACTTAGTCCCTACTGGACAAAACGAATGCAACCTTCTCCCCTCTTTCTGTGACTGTAGTCTATACTGGTCACAGGCACCAGTCGAACACTTTCGCTCCGGCCCCTCAACCTCCAGCGTCTTACTCTCAGGGTTGAGGTGTCTACTTGGTCCTAACCAAACTTAAGGGAGTGGCCATAGGTCCCCTGAGCATCTGTAGATTATTCAACCGGATCACTGGTTTAATCTTGCTTCCTGCCCACATTGTGATTTGTTTGATCCAGAAAGCAGAAGTGATGTCCATCCATCGACTGAAGATGTAGACACAGTTGGGGAGTCTGTGCTAAGAAATTTAGAATGCAGCAAAAAAAAAAAAATTAATATCTGCAGAAAGCCGGACAAACATCAATTCAATGGTTGAATTGGTAATGTCTTTTATATAGCAGAAAAGAATAGTAGAGAAGAGAAACAGGTTACAGAAAAGAAAAGTAAAAAAAAAAAAAAAACTCATACACTGGATTCTAGATAGAGAGTGTATGTGATTATCTTGTTAAATCGTCTGAGAATGATATATGACTCTTACGATGGAGGGATAAAGATTTCTGTGCGGGGCTTAAAGTTATAGTGGCATTCTTCCTCCCAACGCTTGCCTGGGCCAATTTCTCCCGTCTGGCTTTTTCAGCATAACTGCGCATTTATATAGATAAACCCGGCTGGTTATAACTGACCCTCGGCCTTACTACTTCCCCACGTGATTATCACAAGGTTCTAGCTGCTTCAACCTAAATCATGTGAATTCCAAAGTTCCTTCTAGCTTACCCAGCTCTATTTCAATTTTTAATCGATAAAAATTATTTTGACCATTTCCATTGTCTCCTGATGACCCAGATTCAACGGGTACAACTTCTGACCTAGATCAGATTTCTCCATCAGTAAACAAAATGCTCTGATTTAATTTAGCTATTCAAATCTACTCCAATTTCATTAAAAAAAAATATATATATACATATGTGTGTGTGTGTGTGTATTTCCCAAACTCTGTCTCTGTCACATTTTGACAGGATTGGTATTTTGGTCAACAAGGTGAAGTAGGTTTGGATTGTTTTGTTTTACATCATATCAACCACAATAGGTTATTTAATGCCAACCAGATTTTCATTGCTGGTAATAATTTTTTTTCAAAAATGTGTTACTGGTAATAATTTTTTTTTCAAAAATTTATTGCTGGTAAAAAATTTTTACAAAGTAATTCTGGTATTAAAACCTATTTTTACACTTTCATAGTGTCTTGATCCCAGTTTGCGGGTTAATTATTTGCCCATAGCTGGGACCCTAACAAGTACTACCACCCTGAGTCAGGGTGAACCTAGGAACACCAGCAATTAAGAGGGGCTTTCATTCAACTCAAAACCTCCTGATCAGAGGCCTTGCTGTTGGACATAGTTTATCATCTTACCCAGGACGCGGATGTAGTTTATCATCATATTCAGGTTAAGTAGGTATGGTAGGAGTTAATAATAAGAATGATCATAATGTTTTTGTATTTTTTGTCTATAAAAGAAAAACATTTGTAAATGCGTGATAGAATTGGCTATAAAATATTACTTAGCCTAACTTTCCACTATTTCTTTTCAAGCAGTCTACTTGGAAATATATACAGAAATATCACAAATAGGCTGTTCAAACTCCCTGAATCATTGGGTAGAACCTTGTATTTTGTTTTATGCTTATTTTTTCCGCTGTTAAATGAAACAAACTATATTTAAATAAATATGTCAATGGAGTTTCTTATCTAATAAGACTACTTGAAAAATTGCTTATTGAAAAGTTTATATAACTATACTATTTAGTTTCAGCTTCTTACATTCTGGCTTTTACTCTTGGCTGTATCCTGGTACTGGAGATCAATCTCACAAACTTCTCAAATTCATTAAAATATTTTTATGTTTTTTTTGTGATTATTATCAGTGTGCTCCCAGGCAGTTTTATTTTTAAGAATCATTTACGGCTTAAAATTTGACTAAACTTTGTGAATATAAGTCAAAATAACATGCTTCTATCAAGTGTTGACAGCATAATATATCAGAATTACATGTCCGTTGCAGTATACTGTTATATACCTGAATTATTTCCAAAGTAAAATGCATTTATAGAAATCTTATAAATATCAACATTATACTATACAATTCTAATGATAATTCTATACTTTTTAAAAAGCCTTCAAAACAAATTGAATAATTAATAAAGATGTGTAGCTTATTCCTATTATTGAGAGATAATAAAGTTTGTCATTAATGACATCTTTGTGGTCTTGTGCTGCTGTCTTTGGTAAAATTTATTAAGTCTGATCAGATGAATGGGAAGAAAAAGCTTCACATGTATTGTGATTTATAATTTCAGGATGTGCTTCTTTTATGTATTTTTTGTTAATCAACTTTAAAAAACCCATCCTCTTTATATTAAGCAGTAAGAAAAAGAGGATAGCCATTTATAAATTCATATTTATTTTAATTTCTTCTGCATGATTCATCTTGTTGCAATCTTGTACAATTTTAAAATTTATTTTCTTTTAATTTCTATCCATTTTTTTGGTATGAAGAGTTACCATTATGCAGTATATATTGGGCTCTCACCCCAGATTAGGTGAGAATGGACATTACATTCTGTGTCCTCCAGAGAAGCCAGGGTCAGAACTTTCTAAGTACATAAATATACAGTCCATGTGTATCTCTGCCTTTTTCACTAAATATCTCTCTCTCTCTTTCATGGTCTCCATCTGGCCACTCTTCTTCTCTCTCATAGTCTCCATCTGGGCTGACCCTGGCATGTAAACATATGATCAATCCGGCTATGCCTGGCATGTGTGTGGGAAAAGAATCATGTCATAGGTGGATATATAAGCATTCACCCTAGAGAGGAGACTCTGATATCCACATAAGAATGACTCTAAATGCCACACATAGACTGGTTGAAGGTGATTAATGAATCTTGTGTGAAATAAACATTAATATTACACATGAGGGATTCAGTCAGTGCAGTGATAATAATACAATTATTCACATTATTATAGTTGGACTAATGTCCTCCCCTTTGTTGTCAGTATCACAAACTTTTGTTTACTCAGATAAACAAAAACCTGAAGAAAGCTGGAAGGTGCAATGGTGCAAACACTGTGATGCTACCAAAAAAGAAGATGAGGATATTAGTCTGACTGTAAATAATTCTCCTTTAATGTTCACTAAAAGGTTTGAAAGCCAAATAAAAATTGAAGAAAGCAACTAATGATTTCTTGTCTTATTACATCTTTGTAGGGAGGGGAGAACCTTTTGTTACCCTCTCCTCCTCCTCCTAATGGATTCCTTTAGTTCTCACAGCAGAGCAAGCTGCTCAGGAATGTTGTTTCTGACCTAAAGAGTTCTGCTGTTTTGATTCCTTGGCAACAACCACATTTAGTAACTGTCTATCTTGAGTGGTTCTTGGGCCTTGTATTGGGTGAAAGTGAAAAAAAGAAATATAATAATTTGGAAAAATGAAATGCATTTTAGTTTTGTTGAATGAAATTCTGTGTATTACAAAAATGTAATTTTTTTTAATGTTTTAATTTCTCTAGGGAGCGGATGTGCCCTTGGAAACAGGACCATGTGCCACATGTATTTGACAAGTTAGAAATTCCTCTGCCAGTACCACATCCTGCCAGCATTGCATTGGCTATCTACAATAGGTGAGCATTTTCTAAGTACATAAATATATAGTCCATGTGTATCTCTGCCTTTTTCACTAATCATATCCCCCTCCTCCATATTCTCAGTCTGACCACTGTTCTTCTCCTTTATAGTCTCCAGCTAGCTACTCTTCTCCTCCTTTATAGTCTCCATCTAGCCACTCTTCTCCACCCTCCTAGTCTCCTTCTGGTCACTTTTGTTTTTTTTTTTTGTTTTTTTTTTGTGTTTTTTTTTTGTGTTTTTTTTTATGCACTTTCCCTTCTTCTAATCTTCTCCAATTGATAGTACTACTTCTCTTTCTAAATATTAAAATTCCTGTATACATCCTTTTATAAATATTTATTAAATTTGGGTGTATCTTAAATGGATGGATATGATTTTCTTGCTTGTCATTTATCAGCTTATCTAATTTTAACTATTTTTCAAAATTAGGCAAGTTTACTGGTTGATACTGTATTTTATACAATTTCTTTTATACTCTTGGTTTCATCAAGTCTTGTTTAGAGCATGATACATTTTTAACTTGGTCAATGTAATCACAAAGTACTATTGTACATTTTATGTTACTCTTATTCTGCTAACATCATTTTTCCAATATATTAAAGTCATGATTGTGGAAATGTTCTTTCAGTCTCAGAGATTACTGTTTTGCTCCATTTAGTGATTTCTTCTTTATCTAAATGATTAAATTTTATAAATTTTTCAAAAGTTGAATTTGTTAACAAATTAGAGTAGAAGCCTGGCTGCTTATATTCCGGTTTCAAGATGCACTAATAAATACTGTGGTCATCAGTATGAATTCACTACTGAATTTCTCAGTTGATTGTTTTTTTTTAATTATAAAATTTAATTTTGGAAAGCCGCTATTTTTATTTAAATATGTGTGTCCTTTTATAGACCAAACGTTTCACTAAATACATGATGGTTAGTTTTGGTTTATTTTTGCATAACATAAGACTATCCAATGAACTTTTAAAATGTTAAAATTGTTTTATTTAAAGAAAACCAATATCTACTTTCTGATAGATTTCTTTTGGAGAATTTTTTCTAAATTTGAAGTTACATGAGCTTTTCATGTCTTGTTTCAGAGAAAATGATCAGGATCCAATAAATTTTGAAGACATTTATTGCCAACGAATTATCAAAGCTACTAAGGAAGTACCATATGTAGATGTGGGAGATCCTTCATCACCGGAACTCTTTGAAATGGAGCCAAGCACCCCAGACAATGGTACCTATGGAGAGCCGATTAATCTGATGTCCCATCTGGCCCAGCAAGAGGCCTCGTATTTCTCCGATGACAATGTGGGGGGTGGCACGGGCACTAACAGCCCTGCACTGGAAAGCAATATGAATGCATCAATGCAAAACAGCTCAGTAGATGAAGCAGATAGCAAAGAGGATCAGGCTGAGGGCCACATTGTCTACGAAGAGAACGAACGGGACAGCAGTTGTATTATTGAGTTGAGGGACACGGGCAACAGATGAACACATTATTTTTGCTATTGCCTTTTCTCCATCCCAAACTCTTTCTGGGGATTTCTCTCTCTCTCTCTCTAATTTCTTGTCATATGTTCACCTGTCATACACAGATTGCGCATTGAATGACATTGGCATTTTTTGCCACATATGGAGAAAGAAATAGGAAATTGGAAAATTAAAATAATTCTGTAAAGTTTGGAAGCAAATATGCTGGCAATTATTATTATTATTATTATCATTATTATTTTTATTTTTTTGTAAAGGCAAACTGACCTGTAGATTGAAGCTGTATAGAAAGCATTTCTCTGTCTGACTGGCATTCTCTATACGTAATGTTATTCACTATATGTATGGACCAATAAGGATTGATGATCTGACAAAGGAAATTGCTGTAATTTCTTGAGTGGTCTCCCTTGCTATGCTATTTTTAAACCTACAAAGAAAGGTCTGACAGAATTTAAAAGATATTACCTCAGTGCAAGGTGGGGAGAAGTAACAACTTCTTTTGTACAGCACACATGTCCACACATACACACACATTTGTATTAACTACAGATATTGTTTTTGTAACCCCTTTTTTTGTTATTAAGAAAAACTGTAAATTTCTTGTGATCTGTTCTATGAAAATTGATAGAACAATGCTTACTGTTTTTATTCGTCTGTGTGCTTGTGTTCATATGTACACCTCCATGTTTTCTCTCTATGTTTAATAATATCAAGAATGCTATGTTTTTCAGGACAAGGAATTAATATGACGATTATTACCATATCAAGATTTTCTGATCTTTATATTGGCTCTTTTGTATTTTTGAATAAACGAAACTTTGCTCATCATCAGTTATTTTTCAGAAAAGGAAATTGAAAATTATTGAAGGTTTGCTTCTTTGAAAATTAGTGATGCTATCAACAGCAAAGTTAAAGATGGCTGTGTGAATAAATGTTTGAATTCTTATATCAGGATGTCTTTGGACTAAAATTCTCTCCAGTTCTTCAGGTGTTTATTTTTTTCTGGAAGGGAAACAGGGATAGTTGATTTAAAATTGAAATGCTGACAAGAACAGTAAATTTAAGAATAAGATGTACTTAAGTTCTTGGAAGTCTTTTATGCGACTTATGAGAATTATGAACCACATCTTAAAAACTTGTGTGGTCATTTCAAATATTTGGTTGTGCTCCATGTTAAAGTACAAAAATAAATCAATGATTTGTCCACACATGGTTCAATATTTTCTTGTGAAAATTCTTATTTAATGGTTCAGATCTTCAGTGCAAAGATTTTGGTGTCATTCATCTGCTATGTTGCACCTGCAGATTGCTTTTTTTTTATATATCAGTTCAAATCTCGACATTTTTCAGTTTCATTTTCCTTTTGTGACAGTTGACACAGCTATATATTCTTTTTCTAAGAAAGAGCAACAAACATTTGCACTTCCTTGTCTCAGTTTTCAGACAGGGATTCAAGTGAAAAAAAAATCTGAATGAAATTGAAACCTTTTATTATATATCTTTTTATATTGTTGGGTCAGTATAATAGTGGGCTGATCGCAAAAAGAAAATCAACAAAAATTTGATTGCTTCAATAGCGTAAATCTATCCAATGAATTTCTCCTGTTGTTTGTGTACTTATTTGATTCTAAAATTTATTCTTAACTAATTTCTAAAATGAGTGTTAATACTTTATCCCTTTCTGTTTAGAAAAAAAAAAAAGTTTAAAAATAAAATTGAGGACATAACAGAAAAAAATTCAAATTGAGAAAAAGTAAAAAAAAAAATTTAAAAAATAGATATTTTTTTGTTAAATAAACAGTTTATAGAAAATCTTTAAACAGTTTTATTTTATTTATTTTACAACTTTTTTAAGAATTTGGTTTCCTAGCACATAATTAATGATACATATCAACAAGTGTCAGTTATTAGTAATTAATATGAAGTCTTATAATAAATATAATTTCAGTAATAAAAATAGAATAATTTTTTACTGTACTGACATATCTAAGGATATCCTTTTTCTTTTAAGCCTACAATGTGCATTAGAAATTATGCACTATATATATATATATATATATATATATATATATATATATATATACACATTTTTAGTCAAAATAATCTTAGAGCCCTATTAAAAATAGGATCAAGAAAATGATTGATTTGACATGCATGCTTGGTTTCTGATTTTGTTTGAATTTCTTTCCCAATATTTACACTTTTATTTCAATTAATATCAATTACTGAAGTATAATTAAAAATATACATATATAAATATTAGGACCTTTCAATCTTAAGCTGTTTGTCAACCAGATTCCTCAGTTTAAAATTGCTATAAAATTATAACATACATACAAGAATGTAAATTGGTTTAGATTTTAAGATCCAATGAATTTGAGCTTAATACACACACACACACACACACACACACACATATATAACCACAGTAGGACCTCATTATCCTGATAGATTCCAAGACCACTTTTTCGCATACATAAGTGGTTAATGAAGCTCATTTAACAACAGAAGATTCAACTCCTCCTACAAAGAAATATATTTGACTTACATAAAAATGAAATGAATTAGACAAATACCTTTTGCTAGCCAGTTAATGAAAGTGTTTTTGATTTTTTTTTTTTGTTTTTTTTGTTTTTTAAAATTTTTCCTCCACAAGATCTGATGACTTGAACTTTCAGGACAATTAAATTATTTAAAAAAAATATTGAAATACTGTAAAGACTTACATCTGTCTTTTTGTTTATAGTTTACTCCTTCAAAATGTGTTTCACAAAGTAGGTTTAGTTTAATAAGATTTAAGTACAAAAGTTTCACTGATTGAGTCAACCATGCATGTGAGACTACAATTAGGATGGTGATGTCCTACTGTATATAAAACAAAATTTTAATATAAAATACCAGAGAAAACAAACAAAAAAAAAAAACTGCTGAAAGAAAGTGTTTTCAAATTGCAAGCAAGCCACATTTGTACATTTGCTAAATATAAAATGTATTTTCCAGAATATTATCCCATTTTGTTTGATAATTTCTAAAAGTATTATTTTAGCATGATGGGTGACAAAAGAGCTGTTACATTTTTCTTCAAACAAGTTTGTAGCTATCCTCCTCCTTAAATACAAAATGTCTACTAGAAGCAAACATGATGTAATGTTAAAAGCTGATGAATATCACTTACTGTAGTACAGTCATTCACATGTGATTTTGTAAGCCATTCATAGTGGTTTCATTTTTCATTCAATGCTCCATGAATATGGCCTTGTGCCAGCATTAACTTTCTCCAACAAATAATAATAATGTATAAGAAAAAAAATGAAAATTCTTTTTCATTTTTTTTCTGAAGACAGTTATATTCTTGTTATCATTCTTCATTTGAAGTTTATCTTTTTATCATACATAAACAAAAATGGTGCTGAGTTTTGCAAAAATGGAAAACCTTCTTTAATACTTTTGAATAAAATTCATATCTTGTCTAAAACAGGAGTAGAACATTCAATCTGAATATTAGACATATAGAAATTATTTATTTTTATTTTAAATAACAAATTATTTTTATGATTTAAATGTCAACATATTTTTTTCTTTCTCTCTTTCTAGAGAGAAATTTTATTTATTTTTCTTTTTTGCTTTATTTATATCCTATGAATATTTTAAGGATCCAATAGAATCTGTTAAGAGTGAGATAATATTTCGAGAATTGCTTTCCTTGCATCCTTAAGTAATACCTTTCTTCTTGTAATGTGATATTCTGTCATATGCAAATTATTTTTGTTGTCTTGGTTAGAAATGCAAATAGGAACAAACCCGCTTTTGTTAACTTTTTCTAATAGATTTTGTTACATTTAAAATAGTTTTTGACATTGAAGTGAAAATGGTATCATAGAGGAATTGATAATTCCAATTATGGTGTGGTTTATTATTCCTGCTATGTAGGGTTGTTCATAAATTTCTTTTTGCAACCAGGTATCCTTCTTGCCTTAGTGAATTCATGGTTGATAATGGGTCTGATTTAATAATCCCCAAAATAAAACCCTATAATCCTCTTTTGTTTAATTAACTACTTTCATTATTAATAATAAATACATCATGTTCTCATAGTAATTGTTTAATACTAAAACTGTCATCTTTATTGTAAGTAATAATATAAGTTATTAAGAATTTTTTCAAAGTTTGCTTATCATTTGCCTGAATTTAAAATTTATTTCAGTAACAAAAATGAGACTCATGTTTTAGTTGTATATTTTCTAATCTGAAATTTTTTAGTTATTTTTTGTTACTCTGCAATTATTTTTCTTTGTTAAATTGTAAAACTAAAATTGTATTGATTTCTTCTGGTTTAAAATTGTTTCACTGAATGAAATAGCACAAATTTTTGATTGCCATTTCATTTGTGATTTGTTCTAGATACAAAATTTACTGATGCAATAGAAAATATGATTTTATTCATTTTGTTACTATCACTGTCATCTGCATACTTATCAAGAATAAATGTGAATTTACAACAGGGAACAATCCCACTCCAATACATAGTTGTGATGCTTATTTAATTCATGCATCTTGTGTGTGCATATAAACTTCAAAGTTTTCTCTGTGTGTGTGTATGTGTGCATGCATGTGTTCATGTGTTGCTAAAGACTTTATTTTAGTGGCCTCTCTTGCCTACAGACTGTGTTTGAAGGCCATCTTTTCAAATTGAATTTTATTTTGACCAGCAGACAGAGAATTCTGCTGACAGCTTTTAATTTTTTGTTTTAATTTCCAGTAAAAAAAAAGAACAAAAAAACTTTTGTACACTGAATGAATTCTGTATACACTTTCTATTTATATATATATTTTTTATTTTCAACTTTTCTGATCAACAATTTTTATTGTAATTTGTTTAATTTTTTTTTAAATGAAGTTTTGATACTTTTCATTTATTTCTATTTTTCATTGAAATGTTTTTTTCTTTTTAATGTAAATTTGTGCAACTTCCCACGTGTGTTATAAAGTTTGTGTGTGTG